AAAATATCCAAATCTTACTAATTCTATAGCTCAAAAACACCACAAAAACAGCACGTGATCACATAAGGATACGGTAGAACCTTACTGCACAACTTAAATGACATGAAACCAGCTTGGTAATAAGACCTAATACCATTTATATATATATATTATTTGTGCTATACGGATATGCATTCTCACTGTAAAATGTCTCTCCCATGAAGAGACTTAACACACTAGTTAGGTACAGCACATCGCCACGAGGAATACTAACACTCCATCATAAAATTTTCAGCGCAGATGCTTTGGGACTTCATATTTGATTAGATTTTCTACCTGCTCAGTTATATACTGTATTTTTTATTCTTAATTCCAATGGAAAAATAAAAATTTCTGTGCTTGCTACCAAGTTACATGTATTCAGGTTTTATGAAACAAACTATAAATTACTGTTAGAAGATATGTCTGTAAAATTCAGGTAGAATTATTTCCTTGCCATTCAGTCATGTATAGTACAGATTAATCTAGATAGATGTCTCCATGATGGCAACTCCATTGAGCAGGCAACCATTACTTAGGTTTTTACAAGCAGAAAATCGGAAGAAAAGCCCTAAAGAGGACAAGAACAACCTTGAATGGAATTCTTAACTTAATTCTTAAGTTTGAGAGAGAAGACAACAACAACATCACTTTCACCCCAGCAGTTCTAAATCAATTATTCCCAACATCAATTTCTGAAACCTACAAATACCTTTAATAAGCTTCCTCATCTTTGCGTTCATCTTTTGTATCCCTCCACCACCTTTGCAGCTGCCCCTTGATTAACTACTCTCTCTGCATGGAGGTCCCATAGTCTACGTTGACATCAGATTCCCTGTTCAAGAGGATCCAACTGTCACCCTGACTCCAGCAAAACTAACCTCCTTCTATGGCCAGGGAGCTGGTTCTCAGCCAAGCAGGTTAAAGGGGAACTGAAGTCCCAATTTCTCAGACCGGTTACGAAGTGTCGGAAACAAATAAATTACTAGATGGTATCACAACATTTTACACTTTCTGAATTAAGCCCCAAATTGTAAACTTTGTGAACCTAATTTATGGTGGCCATGTTGTTGCAAACTCCTGGTCCCACCACAAATTGTGAGGTAAAATGGTCCTTCCTGCTTACTAATCACTAATAAAATGTACAGCATGAGCCAATAAGTATAGGTTGTGCAGCAGACATTTCACTGCAGATATGTTCCAATGAGATCTGCTTGCAGAGCTAATACTGTATGTACAGTAAGTAGCATTTTTTTTACAAAACCATCTTGAGGCCTAGAGCAATATTTCTCTTGGATTAAAAGAGATGTATTCAAAAGCCTGCTTGTTTAACATGTAATAAAGCCACTTCACATCCCTGGACGTTTTATTACCTTGTTCTGAATCGCAGACAATGACAGCAATTTGGCATTGTGCATACCTGGAAATTTAGTCTATTTTGTGATGTTAGTTGGAGGTTTTACACGTTACTGTGTACATTTTGCTTTCATAGTGGTTTGAAATGCACTCTAATCTTTCTAACCCCCAAATATAAAAATAGAGTTGCAGCTGGCTTTTAAGTTAAAGCTCACTGTACAGTACCCTATGCACTCAATAAACATTCTTTAAAGCAGTTCAATTCTTGTGTGTGTTTATTGCTTGTAAATGATAAAGTAGTCCTGAATATATATAACACAATAAACTAATGATTTTTTAACAAAAGAGGTATTTCTCTAAGGAAGATTTAAAGTACATCACAATTGTAAATGGACAGTAGGATTCTTTCCATTTCAAAGTTATATGACCGTCGGGGTTTATGTTTGAATTTGATGGTCATGAGCAAAACTGGAAGGTGATGTGATTATTTATGACATTTTTATACAAGGAAAACTCCCCAAACAGTTCTCATCTTAGTTCTGTCTTGCACAAAATATGACAGCATTGTGCTGCATTAAGATATAGTACTGTAGTGTGACTGTAATGTGTTTGACCTACAGTACGTTAACAGAAATAAATACATGCCTAATGTATTTCAACAGGAATTCTAATTAAAGCTAATACAATATAGTAATGAGAAATAAAAATAATATCTCATATATGCACAGATTTATTTAGTGTGTATACTGGAATGTATACTGTCGGTCAGTGAATTAGCACCAGACTGCCCAGATGTCACTGTGGTTCATAAGAGGTCAATAAAGGGTTATCCCAGCTATAAATGGGCTCCATCCCATTGCTTTCACACTCCCCTGCATGCCCTTGGTGAAGTAAAGGAACAAAACATTAGCAGACTAGAGCTAAAGCAACTCCACCTCTTTCCAGAGCTTTGCTGCCCTCAGAAAACAGAGATTTCATTCAAATGACAGGAAATCTAACAATAGCCTCACACAAATGTGAAAAGCCATTAGACAGATGAGGCAACAGCATCCCTTGAAGCAGGAATTGAACCTGAGTGTGTGCACAGTACCTACTCAGCTACTTACGCTATTAAAAGCTGATGAATGACATTAATCATACAGGTCCTCTACATGCATATTTACCATTTTCAAGGCCTCAGAGAAAATAAAATGAATTTGGCCTTGACCTAAAGGGTCAAAAAGCACTTTCGAAGCAAAGCATTCATTATCCACAGTTTGGATTCACAACAGATGCAGAATGCCTCTCTTACTTTCCTTAAAATGTCAACTTACTAAGCCCTACAAGCTTTTGACATTTTTTAATTGATAAAAAATGATCCAGACATTTCTCTTCTTCTCCTGGGGTCAAATTACAGTATGTCAGCACTTGACAATATCTTCTTCCAGTTCAGCTTAAATAATATATGTAAATCAATCAATATTCCTTGTGTTCTAAGATTTTGCATCTTTGGGTGGAAAACAATTTGAAACAATTTAGAAAAAAAATGAGTCTGTCATTTCAAAGATTAAATAAATTTACTCTTCCTTCTGATCTCTCATACAGTATAGGTTAATTAATTGCTTACACTTATATAGCATTTTTCTGGACACTCCACTCAAAGCGCTTTACATCCCCTCCACCACCACCAGTGTGCAGCCCCACCTGGATGATGCGACAGCAGCCATAGTGCGCCAGAATGCTCACCACACATCAGCTGTCAGTGGCGAGGAGAACAAAGTGATTAAGTTAATGCATAGATGGGGATTATTAGGAGGCCATTACTAGTAAAGGCCAATGGGAAGTAACATCACTACTCTTTTCGAGAAACGCCCTGGGATTTTTAATGACCACAGAGAGTCAGGACCTCAGTTTCACGTCTCATCTGAAGGATGGCGCCTTTTTACAGTTTAGTGTCCCTGTCACTATACTGGGGCATTAGGACCCACACAGACCACAGGGTGAGCGCCTCCTATTGGCCCCACTAACACCAGTTCCAGCAGCAACCTTTAGTTTTTCCCAGGAGGTCTTCCATCCAGGTATTGACCGGGTTCTTACTGTACTGTACCTGCTTAGCTACAGTGGGTTGCCAGTTGTGAGTTGCAAGGTGATATGGCTGCCGGCAAATCTAATATAGATACAACAAATCTAATTATACAGCAGTTAGAAAAATAAACATGTTCAATAAAATCTAGGGACAACAGAGTTGATCTGTACACATAACTAGATGGACTGTAATAAAGTCAAAATTCGTGGTGTCAAGGTCATGTCCTGTGATGTACTGTATGTAGTCCTTTCCGAAAGTCTGTTTCTCCTCTGAAATGACTTCCCGGAAGTCACTGCCCGTTTATATTTATATTTAAAATAATATCTAACACAATAAGAAGTTTTTGAAAACATGCTTATCAGTTTAAATCATTTGAGGATTTGAGGATGACATAAAGTTCAAAATTAGAGACCAGCAGCAAATGAAATGGTTTGCTATGACAGGGGCTTTAAATAAAGTAGCAATGCATCCACATTAACAAAGTTAGGGCCTGACATTTGCATTTTACCAGGGGAAATATTAGTTAATATAAGGGTTATAAAAACCAATAACAGTTCAACGCAATCCTCCCTAGATTTCCATGATCGGGATCTATTCTTAGCTGAAAGGAAAATGTGAATTGAATGAAAAGAAAATATCACACTGCTTAGCATTGGTGATGGCACCCAGTTGATACAGAGCACAGTACGACTTATTCTACTGCAAATAATGCTAATTATTTCTCTGTGTACTCATTCACAGTTTGCAAAGAGGCAACTTTTGAAACAGGCTCATCAAATTATGTACTGCTAGGTATTTCCAATCTAGTCTTTTTAAAGTATTAATCTATGATTGCACCGTTTGAATCAATATAGGTTGATCTCTTTAGAACATTACAACAACTTCAAAAGGAGACCGTTTCCAAGAGCTTCTTACTTTTGACCATTTCTTTTCCCCATTTGATCGATGTGTTCCATCAATCAGGATCTTACTTGTTGTTTTAAATCTTATAGTATTATTGATTTAAATCTTATTTAATAATCTTATTATGATGTTTTAAATCTTATAGTATTTTAATGGGTATAAATGTAATACAGAAACACTCTCTAACTCTTTGTTTCTGATCTACTCTTCTGATCTAAGGCAATACATTGCAACCCCAGTGCTGTGCATTGACAGTGCATACGAAAAGCTATTTCTAAGGCCTCACATTGTAAAACCAATCATGTGTGGCTATTTGGTTTAGCTCATGCAGGCACTGTTGTGGCAGCTGTGCAAGGATTCTCACTTAGTCATGGTTTACAACATTCATTAGGGGTCAAACTGCAATGACTTTGAAATTGATGAAAGTGTCTTCTATCATACCGAACCAGCCATTTTTCTTCAATTTAGATCCATTGTACATGGAGTGATGCACTTTAGGCGAGTTGTGTAGATACATCATCCTCACCTACCTATAAGCTATTTTTTTTGTAGAACAGTGCTCCTTTGTGTGCAGAGTTTAAAAAAAGCATGAAGAGTTCCAATGTCTATGCGAGCACATGCAAACCAAGTGGCACAGCAATGAATATGGACTGCATACCTTCAGAGAAAAAGTCTGACATTTTTTCCTTGTAGATCCTGAAGTCTGTCTCCAGGAAGATGCAGAATATGACACGATCAATCTATGAAGACAATAAGGAGACTGGCATTAGCATGACTGCATGTTTCACTCAGCAGTGACACTTCATATGCAGGATTTCATACTGAATTTAATGCACTAAACACACAGGACATCCATCCATTATAAGAAAGCTGCTTATTCCCGGTAAGAGTTGTGTCATCTCAGAGAATACAGTATCTTGAAAGAACTGGGAACCAGGCAAGACTACAAAGTAGTTGGTCACAAAATACAGAGAAATCATACTAACAATTTACATTTTGCAGTAAATTTAATTTCTCATCTTTCCAAAACAGTTCTTTGAAATGCTATAAACTTTGATCAGGTTAAACCTAATTAAGGAATTTGGTTTTACAATGAATTAAAAATCAATGAGTGCTCCAAAAAGCATGAAGAGCTTGCATGTTTAGAAGACACAATAAGGCTGGTTAAAAGCTTGTGGTAAGAAAATAAATACAAACTGAATACCTCAAAACAGTTCTACATTGGTAGCACTTAGAACATACAGTACAAACCATATACAGTACTCCAAGAATATATTGCCTTAAATAGGAAGACTTCTTCAAAATCAGAACTAGTTTGGCTTTCTTTAAGCACAGTCTCCTTAATCATAGAGTGAAGGTAGTGCTTAACCCCAACACTGCCCCAGTCTAATTCAATTGGCCTGTTTCCTGTCTGTTACATGCCTGGACCAGTTTAATAGCCCAATTTAAGCACTGGATATGAGCCATTAAAAATGAAACTCAGAGGTGCTTTTGAAATTTTAGAACCAGGAAATTATGAAACACACAAGGATGGTAAAAGACTTATTAGAAGAGTAAAAGAATTATTAATGCATCTGGAAACCATGCCCATTCACAGTTGATGCTCTAGACCCACTTACATGTACCTCAAGCTGGTGGACGTTTTTATTTTATCATTAGGTCTAGTCTACTCTTTTCAAGCAAGGATTGGCAGCTGTATATTTCCAAATGCTAATTTATTTTTATGTATCATGGTTTTATGTACAATGCAAATGTCTCCATGTCTGTTCAGGCCCATAGCATTACTTTGGCAGTCAGTGTCTAAGTACTTGGGTTCTTGGGAGAGAATAAATTACTATTGCAGTGGAAATGTTCATGTCTGCTGTGATTTTCGTCTCTCATTTGTGCACAGACCTCTAGGCGATGCTTCTTTTAGTGTGCACTCTGAGACCCATATTTTCACAAATTTGTTTTCATGTTAGATAGCTGTCCTCTTGGAAAAGTGCCCTTGTGGAACTCCACAGAAGAAGCACTTTTGTATTTTTAAAAAGGAGTTTCTTTTGTGTAGGTCTGGATATTGGTTTCAAACAGCATTAAGAGTATTCGTAATTCAAATACAAGCTAGCCAAATCTGATGGCCCTGCACATACTGTATCTGCAGGTATGCCCATTCTGTATATGCAACTGTGCAACATACTGTACATTTTATTTGATTGCATTTATACAGCACTTTTACATACAGAGAGGCACACATCATCCACCACTGAAGTTCAGCACCCACCTGGGAGTCGTGTGGCAGCCATAATGCGCCAGCAGCCACAACAGATCAAGAGGACATGTGAAAAACTAGTTTAAAACCAGTGAAATTTGCCTAGGACCTGGAGCTAACACTTTTTTCTCTAACATATCTTAAATAACCTAGGTTTCATGTCTCATCTGAAGGACTCCTATAGCACCAACTAGAACACAGCATCCACCTGTCGCTATCCTGGGCACTGCTTTCCTTGTAAACTTCAGTTCAGGGGGAAACTGCTACTCCACCAAATCCAGTTAAAGTGCACTAATCAGGCTAGAAAGTGGTAATGCTGCTGTCAAATAAAACACTGCATGTCTCACATACCGTAGATTTATGATTAAAAATTACACAGTATGTCACTTAAGCACATTTTCACTTTCTAGGAGTTCAGAACATTTATCAGTAACACATTAAACACTGAAAAAGGGACACGATTGAGGTACAGAGTTTACTGTTTACAAGTACACACTTTAAACAGTGAGAAAGGAATTCACTTGTCCATTACATTCTATCAACATACCCATGTCTGTCTCCTTAATGTCTGGGATACTAAACGCATGTACAGTATACTCCATGGCTCCTGTAGAATATTATCTAAGGAAAATACATTCATCACTACAAGATATGGGAATGTATTTCTCAGCAGATAATAAGCCCTTTAAATGTTGCAATTTTGAAAACAGACAGGTAATGACTACCCTTAGCATGTACAATGTGTTCTAGATTCTAAAAGATAAAATTATTGTATCCAAGAATAAACCTGGGTATTTATATAACAGTTACCGTAAAGAATCAAATTCAAAGAATTAACCATTTAAGAATAAAAGGTATCTTAATGTAGGTTTGGAGAGCTCTTTGGAATGGGGAAAACAGGGATGTTCAGTAGAAAGAGGTCACCTTTTTGTGCAATACCATGAAATTACTGTACCTGATGTCCAGAATGAGCTAATGTGGTAACAAAGCATATTGTATGTACTGTCATGATACAAAAAAAACATAGGAATTTCCACTTGTCTCTATGCCCATCTGAGAGTCTACATGCAATAATAAATTCACATCTCATGGAAATTGCTCTACATCTGAGAATTGTCATGCTGCGCTCCTTTTTATATTCATCATTACATGACAAGCTCTTTTTTCTCTTTTTGCTCACATAATGATTAACAGGTTTCATAATTATTAACAGTTTTCTACTTTAAGACCACCAAACATAAAATAAAAATGTCTGATTTAAGAGTGTTTAATGTGGGGAACGAAACTTCTCTGCACTGAGGTCTACTGACCAGACAGTGTTCCAGAGGCTAGGAAAAACTGTAACTATTAAAGCTCAAGTGTCTGGACAATGTGAAATAAACCAAGCTGTGAGCAAAGTGAAAAGACACACATATACAGTATGCTGAACTTTAATCTTGTGGTGTGAAATTATGCAAAATGTGATGACACTGCTAATGATACTGTATAATCTCCAATCCAGAACTACTGGTTTGTTTTTTTTAAGTATCAATAATCAAAGCCAGAAAACATTCAGCTTCTTTACCTTTTAACACACCGTTTCTTGAAACAAAAGCAGCATCACTGGTTTAAACATTGTTTTTGAGGCTATCCACATGGGTAAATAAATGCTGTTCGGGATTTCTGCATCATGTCTTTTTATTATCCAAATACCAAGGTGCTTGATTTCCAAAACAACTGAAAAGGGGATTAGAAAGTAATAGCCTGCTTTTGTTGAGTCCCTTGCCCATAAAACTACATGCACAGCACATCAGAAGCTTTTGTGACTTACAAAACTGACAAAGAACACTTCCCAGGCTCCAGAAGAAAAGGTAACAAAAAGATCGTAAAAAACACCTTTCCAGCACTGATAAGAATGTTTTTCAAAAGAAGTCAGGAGTTCCATGACATTGCACCATGCAAGTTCAAGGAACCTTTACAGTTTAAAGAGGACTAATTGATCTCTAAAGAAATATAGCTTAAGTAAGATGCTAAAGAAACTTTATAAATGAGAGAAAGCTAATCAGTCCATCAAACTTGTTTGGTATCTAGCTGTTAATTCATCTGAGGAAATAATGCTCAAATTTTGAAGGTTGTGGTTCACCATGAATCACCCACCCCACACACAGCTGCTGAAATGCACTTGCACATACTAAATATAATTTTTTAAAAAGGAGCTCACTTCTTAGCAAGGACTGCTGGATAGGTACATAATTAAAAATGTGTATTGTACATCTCTACAGAACAAGTCTAATACACCCTTAGACCTATTGTACTGTATTACACTTGATTTAATTAAAGTAAAACAAATGACTGACTTTTCAATCTAATTTAATATACACGAGACATCTTGTTGATATGTTGTTATTTTTTTCAGTTTCAAAATGGTAAAGACAGTCTTAACATCACAATTAAGACTATTGAAACTTTATTCTCAGAGATAATTTGCACTTTTATTCATGAAGATTTGGGATGTGTTATGTTTTTGGAAATAATAAAACGAATGAAAATGGATTCACAAAAAAAATTTGGAAGGTGTTGACAGGTTATATTTTTCATTTTTCGTCTCTTTCATTAATCATTCCACCATAGGCACTAATTACATAAATGACGTACAGCAGTTATTATTGTTCTGGTTACCTGACAATACACATGCTAGTCGGAAAATTGCTTAATCCTACAGCATTATCATTTTCTCTGACTGGTATCTTTAATGCCCAGTTAGTCAGAACCTCAGTTTAATGTCTCATCTACAGTTTGGTATCCCTAATTACAATACTGGAGCACTGGTTTGAAGATGCTGGTCCAGAGTGGAAGAGTGCCTCCTGCCAATTAAATTACACCACCTGCAGCAGGAACCTGTGAAAACTGTGCAATATATACGGCATAATCTACGGTATAGATTTCCATTAATTCGTTATTTTTATTTTTAATATGAAATTGAATAATAATAATTGCTTACACTTATATAGCACTTTTCTGGACACTCCACTAAAAGCCCTTTACAGGTAATGGGGACTCCCCTCCACCGCCACCAGTGTGCAGCCCCACCTGGATGATGCGACGGCAGCCATAGTGCGCCAGAGCGCTCACCACACATCAGCTATCAGTGGGCAGGAGAGCAGAGTAATGTAGACAATTCATAGATGGGGATTATTAGGAGGCCATGATTGGTAAGGGCCAATGGGAAATTTGTCCAGGAGCCGGGGGTTATACCCCTACTCTTTTCGAGAAACACCCTGGGATTTTTAATGACCACAGAGAGTCAGGACCTCGGTTTTACTTCTCATCTGAAGGACGACGCCTGTTTACAGTATAGTGTTCCCATCACTATTAGGACCCACATGGACCGCAGGGTGAGCGCCCCCTGCTGGCCCCACTAACACCTCTTCCAGCAGCAACCTTCCTTAGTTTTTCCCAGGAGGTCTCCCATCCAGGTACTGACCAGGCTCTCACCTGCTTAGCTTCAGTGGG